AATTTATACAAAAATATGTACATACATATGTATACATATATAACATATATTTGACAAAACCATAAAAACAAAGTAAGGGAGATACAGTTGCTGTAAAAATAATAGCAGTAAAATTCAAAAGGAGGTTTAACTTAGAGTATGGGAAGAAAAAAATTAGAGTGTTGACACCTGTTTGAAAATTGCAATTATAGTTGATTGATAAAAAATTAAACCGAAAATATTTTTCTTGAGGATTGCCTCCTGTTTGTAAACTTTTGTTTAATTTGAAAGATAAAATGAATATTGCTATATGAGTATAAAATTGAAGAGGTTTAGGAAAGTTTACTGCCGAAAATATTTTCGAGGAGGGTTGCCACCTGTTTACAACTTGTTATTCAATACCACATAAATAGAAGTTTCAAAGCTTGCAAAATGTTCAGAAAAATTAATTAAACTTAAAAGAATTTTCAAAAAAATTTTGATATTTTTAATTAGATTTCCTAGAAAGATTTCGAGTATGCGGTTTTATGGCCTATTCAATTTCAGTAAAAGAAAGTCCAAGTTTGAAGTCGCTAAAAATTACAATTGTGGATTCTTTACTCGAGGAAGTGTCACATATAACAATCCGTCTATGAAAATCTATTCAAACTACTATTCAAATTACTATAAACGACCATCAGGTTAAGGTGCTAGCTTTCATTAAAGGCTAAGTGAAAGGTTTTATCACGTTTCCTTTATTTGCTAGAGCTTCTCAAATATTGCAAAAAAACGCGATTTTTTGACACTCTGATCTCGCCTCTCTCAAAATCTGGACCTGATGGAAACTTTATACTTACGGATTTGTAATCAGTATAAAAAAGTTTATAAAAAAAAAGCTTTAACATTTGCCGCACCAAAATCAGTGTTGCCCTGTGTACGCTTTCCACACAACACAATGATCACTGTTATTATTTTATCGCGCTATTCAATCGTGAAATACAACAGAACTTGGACGAATCTGGTAACTTTCTTTTTGAATTCTTGAAGTACGTGGTTGTTGCTACTATCTTCAAAGTGCAGAACAGCCCGATTGCCCGCGATTACAACTTTTCCAACAATCAAATAAAAAAATATTGTTGATGGTAGATTTTTCCGACAGGGTGGTAAGATGATTTATTTTGGAACGAATTTCCGTCATCCCGTGTCAAGCTTGGTTTGCAGACAATGACACTGAAGATGATACAGCGCCGAAACCGGTTTGTCTGCAAGCCAAACGTGACAAGGGATGACGGAAATTCGTTCCAAAATAAATCAAAAAAATATTTTTATATTTATTTTGAGACCGCTTTTGCAATTAATTTTTCGATACATATATTTACTTGTGTCAAAAATTTAAATGTAATGACTTAGATTATTTAAGATACTGTCAGAGACGCTCTCTACGTCGCAAAAAATAATTAAGTGCTTTAAAAACTATTTTAAAATCAAATTTCCGAAGCACAATTTTAGAACTTTAGTGAGAACAGCGAGTTCAAACTGCTCTTGTAAAAAAGATACAAAAAAAAGGTGCTTAATACTTTTCATCCACAATGCAATGGACCTTCCTCTTGACAAATTACATTTTAAAAATAACATTTTTGCAACAGTCGGACAACTTTAATTTTTGAAATATTGTCCAGCTTTTTCAGTTTGCGAAGTTGCGCCCGTTATGCATACCGAAAGTAGACAGCTCCTTCTGCCCTTGGTCCTTCTATAGCGCCCTCTATTGCGTTATCCACCCCTGGATGCCGAACAACAGTGAAATAATAGTATTTTTGATGCGCCTAACTATGTCCGTGTCCGCCTTACCAGTTTTGTGGCCCTGTCGATTGCCACCAGTTCCGCCTGAAAAACGCTACAGTGGTCGGGAAGACGAAAGCTATGGGAGATTCCCAGGTGTTCGGAGTATACTCTTTCGAGCTTCCAGACGTCTGGGTATTTATGGATTCACCCGCCAGTCCTTACAGCATCTTGTTTCCGCTCTTCCCTTGAGAGTAGGAGAGTCATAAATGCTGCTGTGGGAGCAGGGTTTCGAAGTGAAGCCCCGTTAGTATCCTACCATCCCCATAACTAATATTTGACCACTTGTCTAGACTGTTCTTGCAGAGGGTTAATAACCTAAGCGATTTAATTTCACTTCAGCTGTCTCCGAGACAGCATTGGAAATACATTTGTCTGTGTACATATCAAAATAGCTTATTTAAGAGAAAATATGAGCAGTTTAATGCGCTCTTGGTAACCCCAACAGAATACATATTTCAATTAAAGCTTTACAAATAAACAATAATCACTTATATACCTCTGATTCGAATAAGGAATTAAAAAATAATAATTACAATAAAATACGCATCAAAGAAATGATTCATATCAAAGTAAAAAATTATCTACATACATACATAAGTATGTACANTCAAAATAGCTTATTTAAGAGAAAATATGAGCAGTTTAATGCGCTCTTGGTAACCCCAACAGAATACATATTTCAATTAAAGCTTTACAAATAAACAATAATCACTTATGTATATACCTCTGATTCGAATAAGGAATTAAAAAAAAAAATTATAATAAAATACGCATCAAAGAAATGATTCATATCAAAGTAAAAAATTATCTACATACATACATAAGTATGTATGTATGCATGCACTCACCGCATTGAATTCATCTTGTCGCTGCATGTGATGCTGTATGAACATGACATTGTGAATAGCCTTTTCCAGCTCAAAGGGATACTTCTTGCGTTGCGCCACATCACTCAGTGAATCGTCCAGACCGGAAAGCACCGAAGGCAAGCCATTATAACCGCTAAGCGTGCTTAAGCCGCCACCCAAAGCACCCACCAGACCGCTAAAGCTGTACGAAAACAATGAAAGAAAGAAGACACAACAGAAATGAAGTAAAATGTTTTAAGTAAATCCGACCCAAGTAAATACACATGTATTTATGTATGTGTGTATGTAAATACAACTGCATTCAACCACATTCACATTTACATTCACAACCACTCTATCTCCCCCTCCAGTTCAATAAAATTTAATTACCGATTCGTGGCGCTGGTTGCATGCAGTCCATTACAGCCACCACCGCCAAATCCGCCCATGCGTCCCTGCATGCGGCGCAGCGAGTCCGGACTGGAACTGCCCGAATTCATTTGCATCTCATCCATGAGCGCCTTGCCGAACTTGGTTTTGCTGAACTTGGTGCCATAGTTGATTTTACTTGCGGCTAAATCGCGCAGCAGATCCTTGGGTACGCGCATCAACAACAACTTCGGCAGGCGCTTGATGAAGAAGGCACGCACCCATGGCGCCATTTTGTGTGTGCTCGGTTTGCGGTAGTGTATGTTGAGTATAATGATGGTGATGACAACGCTCAACCCCACCAGCAGCATAGTAAAAAGTAGATATTTCCCGAGTAGTGGTAGAGCCAGCGATGTTGACGGTATGATTTCGGAGATCAGCAGGAAGAACATAGTCTGTGAGAGCAGAATGCTGATGCACAGAGCGATTTTCTCACCAGAATCGGCGGGCAGATAGAATACCAGCACCGAAAGATATGAAATACCCACACACGGTATAATGAGATTAACGGTATAGAAGAGAGTTTTGCGACGTAGCGTTATGTTAAAGAAGATGTCTGAAAATACAAAAATAATAAAAGAAGCAAAAAACACAACCTACTGAAATACTTATATGTATAAAAATTTAAGAGTACCGTTAATTTCTTCATGATTCAGTGATCGAAACTTAACCAAATTAATACGGAAGCACCCTTAAGGTCTCACATTTGCGATGAAAAAATAACTATCGAAAACTATTAGATGGGATGATTTAACAAAAAAAAAAAGAAGAAAAATTGCTGTATGAATTGTATGTAATTTTCAAACCTTAATGTCATTCGTTAAACAACTGGGAAATCCGAAGTTAGCCCAGCCCACATTATAAAATCGTGCCTGGCAACTTCAAAACCAGGGTGGACAAGTGGTGGAAGGCTTATTGTCTTCAACAGTCGGAAAATTTTGTCTTCATAACATTGCGTTCGACAACAGAGAAAGGCTAATTTACTTCGCAGTCACTAGGATAATGACTACAAGTCACCAGCATAAAGTCACCTTAGTGTATACCGCTCAAAAAAAGAACAAAACCGGATTTGATGGGCGGATGATAAGAGGAGGCAACTTTGACTAAATTGTTGCAGCTAAGGACTGGATAAGCCTCTATGCAATAAAAAAACCAGCGTATTTAAGGCAGTGCGACAAAAGTTCGACGATGAAAAGCTTTGCTCACAACGAATATCTGAGAAATTTCCCGCTCTACTCTCAATTCTGTATAGACTCGTCACTTCGTACCGCTGCAGAAGAGGTTAGGTTATGTGAGGTAGGCTGGCTAGCCCTTAAGGTTCATAGCGTTCTCAATCANTCCAAAGTTAATGTTAGTCGGTGCGACTAACAATCCCGCAGACGGCGTCAGAAGAGCGAAGCACTTCCAGGGTTAAACAACTATATGATCAGCGATATCAACTCAAAGCAGATTTCGTAGCAGGGGTTAATAAATATATTCTGTATACTAAACAACTAAAGTTGAAATAGGGGGCACAGTTGATCAAACCCGGTCGCGGTGCAATGGGCCTGGATAACCATAATTGCTAATAATAATAATAGCTAATTGTTTCCGTTAGTTTTTATTTTTGCGAAGGACCGATATCTATAGAGTCGGAATCCCTCACCAAGGTCTTGGAAAACTGGGTTAACAGGATGCGCTACTGCGAAGCCTGCCCAGGCAGCTACATGAATGAAGTCGTGTTCCATAAATAATGGCACTCATTACTATTTCGAATAAATCAATAACACAGGCCAATAAAAATTGAAAAAAAAAATCGTGTGGCATATATATAAAATGTATGGCTTATAAATAAGTGAGCATCGCGACAAGGTGCAGGGATGGTATTTTCAGGGATGGATAAGTGGAAGATTGTATCAGCTTTTGTTTTTTTGCTAGAGCTTCTCAAATATTGCAAAACACTTTGACCACGTTTTTCTCAAAAGCTAATGAAAACTTTATACTTACAGATTCGTAATCAGCGTTGCCCTGTGTAATATACCATAAAAAATTATGTTTTAAATTTTTTTTCAGTTAAAAAAAATTACTATGGATAGCCCAACGGCATTCTGGCACTTCCGTCATCGGTAACAAAGTCTAACATACAGTGGTGGAAGAAATAATAGAAACTTCTTATTTTGACCAGTTTTGGCTATACTACTTTTGTTTATTCAATGTTTAATATTTATTTATAAAGGTCTTGCGCATTATATAACACGCACCATATAAATTCATATTTCAAACTTTGTACAAAAATTATAAAAATTCAAGAAAATTTAACAAAATCTCCCAAAAATTTCAAAACTTTTGATAATTTAGATTTTGGGATTATTTCTTTCACCGCTGTACATACATCGTCTTCCACAACATTATAAACTAAGTAAAATCCATTGTTTCGCTGAGTGTAAAATATGAAAAATTACAAGATCCCTTTTGTCGATTATAAAATCCATGAGATGAAATAATCAACTAGAGACTCATAAACAATTTATACCTTTCGACTGGAAAATTAAGGTATGCAAGCAGAAAGGTCGATACGAGCGCGTTATGGCAAAGATGAGTAGTCTGCTTGAATTTATTAGAAAAGGATACACACTCACACACAAACACCACAAAACACAAGAAAGCGTGCGCCAGCGTTAATCGGTTTAGCTTTGGCCNTATTTATTTATAAAGGTCTTGCGCATTATATAACACGCACCATATAAATTCATATTTCAAACTTTGTACAAAAATTATAAAAATTCAAGAAAATTTAACAAAATCTCCCAAAAATTTCAAAATTTTTGATAATTTGGATTTTGGGATTATTTCTTTCACCGCTGTACATACATATGTACATACATCGTTTTCCACAACATTATAAACTAAGTAAAATCCATTGTTTCGCTGAGTGTAAAATATGAAAAACTACAAGATACCTTTTGTCGATTATAAAATCTATGAGATGAAATAATCAACTAGAGACTCATAAACAATTTACACCTTTCCACTGGAAAATTAAGGTATGCAAGCAGAAAGGTCGATACGAGCGCGTTATGGCAAAGATGAGTAGTCTACTTGAATTTATTAGAAAAGGATACACACTCACACACAAACACCACAAAACACAAGAGAGCGTGCGCCAGCGTTAATCGGTTTAGCTTTGGCTGAATTGAATTTTGAAATGAAATGAAATAATCAACGAGAGACTCATAAATTTTGGCTGTTGCTCTGCCGACGGTGATTGCTGCCTTTGTAATTTATGTAATTTTTGTTGTTTTCTATGTTTTTTTGTTGGTATTTTTTGTAATTCTTACTTTTGTGATTTATGATGTGTGTGACTTTTGAGGCTTATACATTGCAAGCGCTCGTACTTTAGTGAGTTTGAGTGTAAGTATTTATGTAGATGTTCAATACATACCCTGCACGGAAACTCCAAACCAAATTTCTAGTTCCGTACTACTATCTCCAATAACTACATATCGCCAGATAAGAGTGAAAAGTAGTCTGCTAAGTCCACTTTCTAAGTCCAAAATAGTCACAGAAAATGTGATGAATTCCAAAAAATCAACAATTTTTCATGGAAATCTATATTNACACAAGAGAGCGTGCGCCAGCGTTAATCGGTTTAGCTTTGGCTGAATTGAATTTTGAAATGAAATGAAATAATCAACGAGAGACTCATAAATTTTGGCTGTTGCTCTGCCGACGGTGATTGCTGCCTTTGTAATTTATGTAATTTTTGTTGTTTTCTATGTTTTTTTGTTGGTATTTTTTGTAATTCTTACTTTTGTGATTTATGATGTGTGTGACTTTTGAGGCATTGCAAGTGCTCGTACTTAGTGAGTTTGAGTGTGAGTGTTTATGTAGATGTTCAATACATACCCTGTACGGAAACTCCAAACCAAATTTCTAGTTCCGTACTACTATCTCCAATAACTACATATCGCCAGATAAGAGTGAAAAGTAGACTGCTAAGTCCACTTTCTAAGTCCAAAATAGTCACAGAAAATGTGATGAATTCCAAAAAATCAACAATTTTTCATGGAAATCTATATCCAAGGTAACGAATTTAGAACTAGTTCGGAAATATCGAAATGCTCAGCTTGAATTATATTCATTCAAAAAAATTTGATTTCAAATTAAAAACGCATTTCTTCGAAAATAATTTAAAAGCGCTTCCATGGGAAAACCAAAATGACTGTTACTTTTTTCGTCTATCGAACTGGTTTGGAACTATAGAAAAAGGGATGCAGCGCAACCTAGAAAATTAAGGAACACAAGAGATTTTAAATTTTTTAATCTGAATCTTTAGAGAATTTTCGGGTATGAAGTTTTATAGCCAAAAAAAATGTTAGTCTAATGAAAGGCAAGTTTCAACCGACTAAAAAATCGCGTTGATTTTTGAGAATATTTTTTTTTGGAGACAACATTTTCCGTTTTTTTTTTATAGTACAACAAGGACAATTCACCGAAACTGGCGTTGTTTTTTTGAAATTTTGTTGCTAACGATCTCCCGCGTTTTATTTCGTAATTCATGTTTATATGGAAAAGAGTGGCAAAATCCGTTACAAAAAAAAAATCTCAAAAACCAACGGGATTTGTAGCTTTTTTAAACCTTCTACTTCATTAAACTAAAATTGTATGGGCTATAAAACTAAAAATATACCCAAAAATGTTCTAAAGATTCAAAGTTAAAAATTGAAATTTTAACGAAAATTTGTTGAATTTTCCTAAATTTTGTATAAAGTTAGAAACTGTGTTTATAAGGTTCTCGTTGACTTGGACGGTATTTTTATAGAAAAATAACCAAACAAAAATTCGAAAAACATTACGAATATTTAAAAAAATCAACACGTGGTTATTTGTTTGAGTCTCTGTATATGAAAATTAGGGTGGTAAAAAAAAACTGATGTCGAAATTTTAATGCTCTAGACCCTAGGATTGTTTTAACACGAAAAAATACATAAATTTTTTATTTTTTTTTTTCGATCGGAAAACTCTGGTTCTCTTCAAGAGACTTGTCATAGTAATACCCAATTATTTATTTAATGATTTTTAAACCATATAGATTTTTTATTGACTCCCCCTTGCATTTTCTGTGATTTTTGGCAGGGCTATAAAATGTAGCTACTATGAAAAATGGTTAAATAAATTATTAGGTATTATTCGATCGAAAAATATTGATTTTCAAGAGTTCTATACCATTTCTACAAAAACTTGTTTTTCCCATATAAAATACATGGAAAATTTTGAGCAGCACTTTGAGTGAACTCTAAATATTTTGACAAGCTTTTATTTAACTAGCTCTGTATGTATGTATATATCGTCGTTAAAGTACAAAACCGCGTATCAACAAAATGCAAAACGACGTATCAAGATAATTCAAAACCGCGTATGTGAATTATGTAAATTATCTTCTAGAGAGTAAAAACACTCATATTTTAAAATGGTTCTCTTTTTTATAAAGTAATTTCTAGCTAGTATATTTCAGGACAAGGTTTTGTACTTTAAACGACGATATGTATGTTTGTTAGGGGCAAATCATGAAATCAATTTTTTTTACCAACTTCCCGATGACACAGAGACTTGAAATTTCACAATTGGCTAAGAGCCCGATGACAATCCAATACGAAATATAAATTACTTCGATAGGTAACGCAGCAGTCGAGATATTTGAAAACCGGTATTTATGGTCCGATTTCGTTCATATTTAGAAAGCTTGAGTTGAAAAAATATATATTTTTTTTACTAATATTAATGTATCTGATTTCAAAATAAAGAAACAGGGGTATTATTTTTGGGGTATAGAAGAATCCTAAAGGGTGAGAGCATTAAAATTCTGAATTTACTTTTTCCACATTCATTTTTTAGGACCACCCTAATGCTCATACATGTATGGGTATACAAATTTGCGCCTTTGTTTTTGCGTGCTAGAGCGTTTGCGTCCGTTTTGGCCATGTTGACAGTTTGATTACACTTTGCTTGCAAAATAATGAAGTCTTACGCCCAGACTATGTTGCTACTTACTGCCTCACCACAGCTGCCTGGCGCAATGGGAGTATTTGTCAGCAATATTGCAATGTATTGCATACAAAAATACCCAATATGCTCTACTAGCTATGCAGAATAGATAAAATGCGCATTCATACATGCAAATAGTCGAATTGAAATTTTTTGAAATGATTTCCTTTGCTTTCTTTGGTATTTTTTGTTTGTGTTTCATTTACTGATTTTCAAAACTGGAAAATCCTCTTCGAAATTCCTTTAGGACTATATATTTATCAACTCACATACAACATAACAGTAAANCGGCACAAATGCAAATCCCCAATCGACTTCTTCTCGATTTCAATTCATGGCGCGTTGTTGGTGTGGCGGCTTTATTGAGGTTTGGGAGAGGCACCTACGTACAAACATACATACATACATACATCACACTATGGAGAATTCTACTAAGCCACATAAAGCATATTAAATTAAGTTAAATGCCGAAAAATGAAATATTTTTAGGATTATACTCATAAGTATGTACATACAATAAACGTTTATATAAGTAGAATGTTTACTGATCAAGAATATTTGAAATAAATTATAAAAAAAAATTTGAATGAGATAAACAAAAAAATATAAATTTTTTGTTGTTGTATTTTCCAACATTTTATTTTATTTTTTCAATACCTGGATATGGTTCAGCACAACAGGGATAGTATTTCTCATGCCGCTCTGCAGGCACACCCAGTATATCCCACTCCACACTAGGATAATATTCACGCAGATCTATGCCGATTTCGACCTTGTTATCTTTGTCGTTCCTTTGATTGATGTGCTTTAAATCAATCTGTGATAAAATGTACGAAAAAAGACGAAAGGTACAAGAAGGGAATAATAATTAGTTACGTATATAGTGGAAATCGCAATGGTAAAGGTAATGCTTATTGTAATGGTAATCGTAAGCGTCATTGTAGTGGCAGTCGTATTTTTCGTGTTTTCCTTCGTATTCAACTTCGTATTCGCCTTCGTGTCGGTATTCGTTTTCTCATGCGTCTTCTTCGTCTAATGTTTGTCTTCGTTCGTGATCATATATGTATATCTCCGTCTTCAGCTTCTGAATGGTCCTCAGTTTCGTAATCGCTTCCATCTATGCATTCGTCTCGGTATTCCTTTTGGTCTTAGTCTTCTTATTCCTCTGCGTAATCCTTTTCGTATCATACGCCTCACCACTTCGTCGCCATATTCGTAGACAGTCTTCGCGTTCATATTCGTTTGCGTCTCACCTTCGTCTCCGTGTTCGCCTTCGTATGTGTTTTCACGTTCCTCTTCGTATGCATGTTTATGCTCGTGTTCGTCTTTGTAGCCGTCTACGTAGCAGAAGCTACTTTTGCTTTCTAAGCAAAAAATATGACTTAAAAAAAAATAATACTTTTATTTACTTAACAAAACACAAAACTCAAAAAAAAACGATAATTTTCAGGCAAAACTAAAAAGTTAAAAAAAAAATTACTATTTATTTACTGACAAAAAAATCAAACATCAAGAAATAACGACTATTTTCCAAAAAAAAAATAACAATCAAAATTTTCAAGCAAAAAATAAAAAATTAAGAAAGGTTGTTGTCCAAACAAAAAAAAAGGTGTAAAAAAATATCGATTTTTTTGATCAATAAATAAAACTCACTAAAATGCTCAGCTTAACTTGAAGAGTTACTGATGCATATGTATCTGTTTTTTACTTAATCTCTCTTTACGCTCTATTAATACAATATGTACCTGATCACCATCGTAAGTCCACGAACCGAATTTCATGAAACATGTCTGCTGATCGAACGGAAAATAGCGCACATCAATTTCACAGGATGATTTGAAAATGGCCGGCGGAGTCCAAACCACCTTGCCCGTGTAATGGAGGATGGCTTTTGTCATGGTGGTGACAACGTATTCACCGTCGGCGCTGAAAAATAAAAAAAAAGTTACATTATTTTTGAAGTGTGGTTAGGCTTCGTTGGTTCAATATAGGCAAATGCAACTTAAACTTAGCTTTCTTAAATAAAAAAAAGTATTTCGTAAGTGGATTTAAAAATTTCTTCCGAAAAGTATGCAACATAAAATCGTATGGTTCGTATTGGAAAGCGCTGTAAACAATACTAGTAGAAATATTTTCCAAGGACCAGTTTTTCAGTGTACGGTTGTGTTCAAAACGCTCGTGCTGGCTAGTTTAAACTGAGAGCTCCTCAAAATATTTCAAAAACCTGTTTCTTACGATACATTTTTAAATACCTTATTCCCTTAATTCAAGCCTAATTTGATTTTTAAAATAGCCGGCAACCCTTCTACATGCAGTTTTGAAATAAAGCCTTTACCTGCGGATAACCATATTGTAAAAATGCATCAAATTTTTAAATACATAATTCGAATTCAATTTTCTAAACAGGTGGCGACCTTCTTCAACCTCTTTGATGCATAAATACATACATATGTATTCAAATTACACAATTCCCTGAATTAAGGTTTAATTTTATTTTTCAAACAGATGGCAACCCTGCCTTTTAAAAACTATTTCGATTGATGCCCTTATTTTAATAAATAATTTAAATTACTAAATATTTTAAATTGAATTTAATTATAAAACAGGTGGCAACTTTTTCCAACCACCTCAATAATATTCTAAATGTTCAAGCTAAAGGTTCTTAACAATATATTCTTAACAATAAATAATAAAATTCGACTAGACTTTTCAAACATGTGGCAACCCTTTTGAAAATATTTTCAAACTGCAAGCATTTTAAGCGTTGTAATTCAAATACTGAGTTCCAGTGCTCTAACACAAAATTTCCAGAGATATGCTGCATGAAACATTTCGTTTGTATGGGAGGTACCACGCCCCCCCTTTAGTCCAATCGAGAGAAAGACATCTTAAGTTGGAGTAAATGACGTCAGTGTGCTAAATTTCATTATGATCGGTTGTGTAGTTAAAGCGTGAAAGCGTAACAAACAAACAAACTCTCCAGCAAAGTCAAATAAGTATCTCAGCCGCTTATCGTTGAAGGTAAGATTTGTGGCATCATTTCAGCTGATTCCATGCGATAAGCTCCGCTCCACATTGTTCAGTGTGAACACATATAGCTTTCGTGGGTATTTCGTTATATTAAAAGCGCCTTTTTTAATATTACAACGTTTTATCAACTTACATTGTTGTTTGTCCAGACACCTTTGCTATAAACAAACTTCTTATAAAAAGTTTAGACATACACCTTGTCGGTAGATATCATATCAAAGAACATATAATTAGACACAAGAAGTAGATGTCGCCTCCCCGGAAGTAGTTAAATATATTACGCCTAAAAATATGCACTACATAGACTAAAGCGGAAATGGACGACACGCCATTCCTTTAAATACATACATATAATGCTGGGTTATATCTTTCAGAGATATACGCCATGCAGTAAGGGACCTTGCATTGTATCTGCGAGAGTGTAAAGTTTTAAGAGCTGTTTGACTAGCATAGAAGATAATAAAGACTCGTTTTTTCTCATTAGTTCTCTCGCTTGCATAATTCTTCTTTATATTTCAGTTCCTGTACTTTAGAGCATACTTAACCACATTTGATGCTTGATGCTTTAAATTTACGTTTACGTTTACGTTTTTTTACTTTAATACTAAAACAAAAAAAATATTATAAAAATATCGATTCAATGTATTTTTAATTTTCTGAGTCTTCATAGGGTGATTTGAACTTTGACGCCTATACGACACGCCTTAATTGACTCCAATCGGGATCAAAATTTATATGTCAAACCTTTGACCGTGGTATTACCGATTGAGGGGGTGAGACTGAAAAGATTGTTAATTTGATTTTTTAAGGACCACCCTAATGTATATACATACATACGTATCTATGATATGTTCGTTTCTAAAAAATACTCACTTATTATAGAGCACTATGTCCGGCAGCCAAATATGCTCCGATGGCACATACAATTCCGTTACACCGCCATACTCCGAAGGATCCCACTTAAATTTGTGATCCTGCCATTCGTGTTCGAGCCAAACGTTAGTTGTTAAAATTTGATCTTTTAAATTCTGTAAGAAATGTGGAAGAAAAAAAGCAATTAACGCGCGCAAAATTTTACATTGCAAGTCAAACGACATCGACATTAGGATCGCACTAAATTACTCAACGCCTCAGCAATAAAAAGATGCACAAGAAATGGAATAATGAAAGAATTTAGTTGATTGAAAAAAAAAAAAAAACACTTTGAGAAACTGCGAAAATTGAAAGAAATTCGCCGGCAATGCTATCGTCTCGCCGGCTGAACTCCACACTGCCTGCAAGCGCCTGATTGTATGCTTCGATTTGCTCGCTCTGCTCATTTAAATTCACTATTTATTTCATTTGTCACGTTTTCGTTTTTCGTTTTTCATTTCGTATTTTTTATTTGATTTTCTTTTTCCTATAATTGCTGACCTTTTGTTTCAAAGTGGAAATGCTCTTAATTTCGCCGTCATGTCCTTTTCCATTCATTGCTGTGCAAATGAAAAGTCTAATTTCTTGACTATTAAATAATGTATATGTATGTATGTATGTACTATGCATCTGCGCAAGTGAGAAGAAGTGTGGTTGTATGTTTTTTCGCACTATTTTTCATTCACTTTTGCATAGTAATTGCTTTTATGCATTGCCAATATATATATGTACATAGATTTGCTTGTTAGCTAGTTAGTTCTTTTATATGTATGCTTGTATGTTTGTATGTATGCATGTAAATACGTGAGTTTGCGTCTATTTGATGCCTTCAAATTGCTGTTCAATTGCCACTTTTGTGTCCTTTGTTGCCAATAAAAGGGTCCGACGGTGAAATTATTTTTGCTGATAGTGGCGTTAAAATGATTGACTTGAAGGCTCAAAACAGTTTTCATCGCACCTTTGTGTCTGTGTGATAGCTATTGTGTGTGCACATACACGTGTGCTAAAATGCTAAAAGTGCCGTCAAACGGAAGCATAAAAAACGGATTCAATTTAATTTTGGAATCACTGATAAACACGCAATCGGACAGGCAAGCAGTTACTTAGTCGGAAATACTCTGAAAATTTCAGATGTTAAGGTAGGTGTGTTTTGCGGAGCGAAAGATAAGATTTCAGCAGAGTAAAAATGTTAAAATTGATATCGTGTGCGAAACGGTTTAAGTATGTACATCTATTTTATGGTAATAATATGACTTATTGTGGCTTATACACATATGTACATACATACATAAATACACAGGCATCGTTTACGTTTTTAAAAGTGAATTAACTCAAGATACATATCTTATTTTTGATATTATACCGACAGCATTTCGAGGGCTGAGTGAAAGATCGACCTATATCAGTAGCCAGTTCGAAAACGAGCCAACTCAGATAACTTTTCAAGAAAGTCCTACTATAGAATTTGATTGAAGAACGCCGTACGTACGAATTATATATTGAAAAACACCCTATCTTAGAATTTGGAGGAAGAACGCCTTATCTTAACATATTTTCAATATAAGATAGGGTGTTCTTCAACAAAAATCTGAGATAGGTAATTCGCCAACCAAATTCTGAGGTAGGGCGCTCTTGAAAAGTTTTCTGAGATTCGGTTTCCGGTCGAATCTCGAGATAGGTCGAAATATTTTGTTGAATATTTTTAAAGTAAAGTCTCTTAAAAGTCTTAAAAAGAAGATAATGTAGAAACTGTTTAATGCAAGGACGGATTTAGGGGGGAAAGGGGGTTTGTGGGTTCGGATCCCCCCACGAATCTTCCAGTCTATGCCGTACGCTGTGAATAAGTTCTTTGTAACCTCATCTAGTTCAAGCCCCTTTTAATTCAGCTACTTACTTCCAAACTTACACTTACACTTCCTTAAAAACATTGCTTGAAAATTTTCTCACTTATTATTCCTAATCAAAATTGCAACGAAATATTCAGTCTAAAAACCGTATTTGGACGTATTTATTTTCATTAATATACAGACAATTCAATGAATTGTTTGTAAATTGTCGAACCCCTGGCTTCTCTCTTTATTTGTTTGGGGCTAGAGGAAAAGGACGAGTTGAAGAGCAAATCTGATGGCGTACAGCCGAGTGCCAATGCTGAAACCCATCTTCATTTTGACGAAAAAAACCGAGTCAAAAGAAGCCAAATTATCAAAGAAATCTAGTGGATGCGTACCAAGCTGAAATTCAATGAAATTTTTAAATCGGCCACACAAATTGCAGAAACTATTGGTACGGAGCAGGACGTAAAAAAATCAGGACAATTATGCTGAATGATATTATCGGCGGTCCATTTTCGTCCCATTTTTGGATCAGCATTTAGAAGAGCTTAATCTAAGATTTATGGAACACAGAGAACTACTGACAAATATACAAAACGTAATTCCAACAAACTGATCAGAGCATAATGAAGAAGCGTTGGACAAAACCGATAATGTCTTTAGGGAAGTATGGCCCAACGACGCACTATGGTGCCTCTGCCGCAAAAACGTTGCAAAACTAAAAATTTTCATGAAAGCGCTCGTATCTAATAACTAATAACTATCAACTAATCAAAATTGAAATTGAGGGTGGTTATTTGCTAAGTATTAACTTACCTGTATCAAAATTTCCTTCTGCGCCTTTACTTTCTACATAAATTGAAGTGAAACAGCCTTGGCTGAAAAAATGCGCCTAGGCAGGTTTAAGGTGGGGGAGGTTGTTTGTAACAGCCAAAATGGATCAAGATAAATATGGATAAATATGGACAAATGTTCAGAATGAAAAAAAGAAATCGGTTAAGCGGTGACTGTCTGCCCGTCCGACCATCCGTCTGTGCGCATGATAACTCGAGTAAAAGTTTAGACATCTTAACTTCGTTTGAGCGTAGGACGAACGGTATTGAAAATGGGCAAAATCAGACAATAATCCCATGTAACGGTAGTTTTCAGATATGCGAACGCTGCGATATTTAAGTAACTACCCTACAAGACGCGATTGACAGAAACTCCAACACATTCACAACGAAAACTAACACATATGCAAAATTTTATATGCCAGTTTGGCTCTGTAGGGAATGACTGTCATTTGATAGATCAAGTGAGTGTCAATGCTGATAGAACTAACGGTAGTTGGTTGCCATAGTAACCACAAGATTCACTAGGGCTGCATTTTGTGCTCAACAAAAGTAGTTGTACCTGCCAAATAATGTCGAGTACTGAAGTACTTGGATATAATTTTGAACTTAATTAGTTTAATTTTAATTTTATCATTATTCGACCCCGCTCATAGCAAAAGTAAGTAAAAATAAAAGTTTTCATTGTGGTATGACATTCTTTTTATATATAAACGTAATAAATAAAACCGTATTATAAAGTACTTGGTACTGAAGAAGTTCAAATGCGCACATCAACAGAAAAAAGAAAGACGCAAAACGAAAAGATGCTCAAAACTTAAAGTGCTGTGGAAAATTAAAGATAAGTTTTATAAAATATTGCATTTAAAATGAATAAAAGAGTTTTTAATACCGCCATGAGCAAGAAAAACGGATTTACGAATCCAATATTAAAAAATTGCATCGCATCGCCAGTTCTCTACCACTGCAGTCCTATTGCGCTGTGGATTTAATAGAAACAAAATTAAAAGATCCAGAGTATGCACAAGCCATGATAATGAATTATATTATGGAATACATATTTCACGTTCTAATTGCTGTACATACATCTTTCAAAGGTCAATTACATATATTAAAAATAAAAGGTGTATCTGAGGACGCAGCCAGCGGTATTAAACATTCAATTTCGGACGAGGCATTGCTGTAGCTTAACTGTGACGGCAGATGGTAGAGAAAACCACTAAACAAACTTATACTGGTTGACACAGTCCTACAAGGTAATATGTACACATATTAGGGACACAACCAGTTCTGACCATTTATTTTTTCGTTATTTATTTATAACTATATACCTATATATAAACCTTTTTAACATACTTTGTCAAAAATTCTCAAAAATCGACGCAAGTTCTTAAATAAATGGTCAAAACGTATAAATAAATAGTATCCCTAATTATGTGGCCACTGCCGTATACATACATATGTACATATCTTTTAACAATACAAACTTTTTTATAATCTATTTCAATCCACTTAGATGCATTTAAAAAGAAAGGTCCTGTTGAGTTCGAAAAGAAATCAGGAAGGCAATTGAGCTCAATGTAATGTATAATACTAGGATATTAGATTTAAGAATGTACATATGTACGTTGGTGGCAAAAATAATAGAAGCGCCTTATTTGGCTTAATTTTTGGCCACATTTCCCTTGTTTATTAATGTTTAATGTACTGTGCTTAGGGTAATGTATTTAGCTTCTAATTTGATGTAATGTACTTAGCTTCTAATTTTTTGACGATCAATAATTAGTTCATAAGATTTTATGAAAATAAAAGAAAAAACAAGTATTACATGTGTCATTAATGATAGATTTCTATATCGTGGGAGAGAGATCAGACTAGACGAATTTTTACATCAACTGTGAGTAATCAACAATGATATGAAAACATGACAGACTTGATGTGTCATAATTGATCGTTTATAACATCAAATTTGATTGCACATTACTGACTTATATTTCTATCAAGGTTGATCACTCATAATTGTCGAAGATTTACATCACTGATGATTAAAATTTGAAGGACGAACTCAAAGGGAGTAAGCAGTCTAGCAATATGCCAGAACGTATATGTTAGAAGGAGATGAAGCCCTTTAGAATTTGATAGAAACTTGTAGGTAGCCAGTGACAGAAATCTCTATCAGTCTTGCTGCTCAAATTATTGGTCAAATGATAGTCACTGTTCTTGCAGGGTACTGAAGTTCATTCACTTAAAATGACATTTGCATTGATTTTAAGGCGTAAAATGAGAATATTAAAATTTTTGGGAAAACACACATTTCATTTTATTTATTTAGTCGCGGCTAGAACATCGTCGCGTACACATGTGTCGCACTTACTTGAGTGCTGACCCCATGCGACCACTAACGTAACATTTTTTGACGAGGCGTTTTTCCAACACTTTTATTGGGGTCACTCTGGACCCCATGCGACTAATTGTGTGATTTTCTTTATNACTTACTTGAGTGCTGACCCCATGCGACCACTAACGTAACATTTTTTGACGAGGCGTTTTTCCAACACTTTTATTGGGGTCACTCTGGACCCCATGCGACTAATTGTGTGATTTTCTTTATGCGCCTAATTAAGGGTTAAGAAAATTTATCCTTCATGTGCTCGGCGGTCTACATTTGTAGCATTTTCGCCGAAAATTTATAATAAATAAAAGAATTGCACTACAACTGTGTCCGAGGTTTTCAGTAGCTTCCTAAAAATCAATTCTAAGCAGTTTTGGCTATTAAGCGTACAAACAAATAATTTCCCAGACCTTCGAAACCGTTATTTTCAAAATGACTCTCTCCTGGCCAGTAGTAGGCGACATATAACAGCGTGCGACACTCAATTTTACCTACAGAATGAAACTAGGTTTTTATTTTTTCTCTCTGACGTCAGGACTTTGAAATTTCAAGGATATGATAAATTCAAAAATTATTAAAAAATTCAGAGCAATGTAGAATAACAATATCAGTGTCAAACAAAATACAAATCTCTGTAAAATTGAAAGAAAATTAAATGTGCTGGTACACAAGGACGAGAGGGTATTGAAATTGTCCTGTTAAGTTAATTAGATAAAAAAAAAATGATTTAAAGGGACATTTTCAATACTTATTCGTCCATATGCACTAAAAAATTGAAAGTCTTTGAATTCTAAAAAATTTTCTCTTTATTGAATGCGTATACTGCTATTTCAGATCGCTCTAAATTTTTTAAATAATTTTTTCAATTTTTCGTATCCTTTAATATTCAAAGTCCTTTAAAAAAGAGATACTTCAGAGAGAAAACAAGAAACTCAGTTTTGCTATATTTGGCACCTAGTTTCGCGAGTATGTATGTATGTATCTATATTGTTAGGTAGGTATTTCGAATTTTGTGTTTGGAAAACAAGATGC